GATATTTTTTCTCTCCATTTGGTGATTGTTATCAAAGATGATTCAATAATATATTTTATTAAACTTTATAAGAAAATTTAAAGATTGTCCACAAAGAGCTTTTGAAGTAATAAATACTACATGTTAATCTTTTTAAATGCTTAAAATTCCAACGTATTACTATATCTAAAGAGAGCTTTGAGGCCATAAACATCATTTAAAAATCCCCTCAAACACACAATTCTGACAATCATTGTCATAAAAGTAAAATTCTAACTTTCTTACTTTTAACTTAATTTTCACTTCTTTTAATAATAATTTATATGATTTAATTTTTTATACTATTTTTCAATCAATTATAATTTTTCTAACTTTTATAGATCTTAATTTGACTAATTAAATCATTTGTAATTAATTACATAAGAATTATTAGATAAAACTCTATTTCTACTTAATTTGCATTTGTCATACACTAATGAATGTAAATTAAGGGAATAAAACCACATGGGGAGCTCAATGGTCATCAACACACAAAGAACATCCTCCATCTTGCTGGATCAGGGCAAAACGTCAGATAGTGGTGGGGCAGTTGCTCACGGAAGGCATATCCCCAAGTGAGATGTTGTAGAGAACTAGTGGACGACACTGCTGTGGTTAAAGACGATGCCTTGGAAGCCACCGAGTGAGAAGATATTGATGTGCCTTTCGATCCGGATGCCACTCCAGGATGAGACGAAGAAGATTCTCTGTGAGAGGTTTTTCAAGCGAGCCACCATCTGTCTATCTGCCTCTGGATTGGGAGAACATAGAGGCATCAGATGTGCAAGTCACGACAATCTACTCCATTAGTGTGGGCAAAGGTTCTCCGGGGCCTCATCGTGAACCTCATTGGCCATTCGCACAACATGGTGTGAGATCAGTACAGGTGTCGACACGGTACCAGAGTAGGCGAGTTTCACTGAGGCATCTGGTGAACATTGATGGCCACAGACACGTGACATAGCGCGCTGGTGACCAGCAGGCACAAGCAACGTGGGCAGAGATAATAAGGAGAATCATAGAGAGCACCTCCCTCGCAATACTGAGGGAAAAATATGAAATGGAAAATGGCCTTTTATCAGGAATACACCCCTTAATCATTAAAATTAATCCGAATTAGAGTAGAAGAAACGACCTTCTCAACAACTCCACGCCAGAAAAGCATATCAGCAACTTCTTTGACAATAGGAAGAAGACCCGCATGATGGACACCAGTTACTCTCCGCAGGAGGTTTTGGACTCGGATAATCTGGAGCTAAATTTACATGAAAGATGATCTTTAATCATTGCTTCAACATGTTGTAAAAAAATAAAAAAATAAAAAAAAACACAAAAACCTGTGGAGGTTCCTATCAGACCCCTTCAGGCGTGAAAATGGCTTATCACAGAATAGGTGGATTTCACTTTTCTCAGAACTGCTAGTAAGGCCGGTGCCAGTCAAGAAGTCTGTTGACTTGTCGCAAAGATTCTTTGAGAAGCAGAAAATCACCTGAAAGCAGAAGATTGATTTAGTTTACAGATTTAAAAGTCGTCTGATGATTATCGGGATTAAAAACATAAATATGAGTAAATAATAACTTAACGCATATCGGCAAACAAGATCAATCGATTTTTCATTAGTTTTTTTCAAATGGATATATTGGCATCACGAACTCAACCATAATAATAGGATGCACCTCGAATACTGCATCATTTCACAGACCACATGGCACAGAATATAGGATGTAAACGTTAAGAGAGAAGAATACGAAAATTATGCAAACTCCTTACGGTGGCCAGAATGTCTCTGACCTCTACTCCGACCAAAAGTTTCATGATGCCTTTCTCGATCCACACCTTGTGTCCCCGCAGACCCTGCTCCTCCAGAACTGCTTCCAATGGTAGAAGTTTTCTTCTTGAAAGCATCTTTAGCTGGCATCAGTCCCTGGGGCAAGAAGGTTTCGATTTCGCATATTTTATACAATTCTCCGGAATAAAATAAGAAGTGCTCCAGGGGGAAAGGTCTCTTTTTGGTTCTGCTGAAAAATACATAACAGGAAAAAGCTAAAAAGTAAGAAACGACCCAATGTGCTAAAGCAATTTTCAGGTTGGAGCCTTTTAAAAATGAATTGACAATTGATGCACTTAATCTAGCAATTACCCAGTGACAAAAAATTTCCTTCTTTCGTCTGTCCTATCCAATCTGCGAATTCAACTGTGTTTGGCACCTGCAATATTGGGGTGGAAAAGGAAGCTGATATCTGAGATGACTATATATAATGAAAGCAACAAAATATAAATATTACAGATGTTGTCCCTCGATCAAAACCAAAAACAGACCTCTGTGTCGAAGATAAGAATCTGGATCAAAGCTGGAGAATTATGAGATTCAACATATTCAAAGAGGAAAATAAATTAACGGAGAATAATTGGAAAGAGAAAACAAAAATACATCACCGCCTCTGCACATTGCCAGCGACAGAAGTAGAGAAGAATGAAGGACAGTTTTTTTTTCAAGAACAGCTTATTTAAGATAGAAAATGTCTCTACCAGATCCTGCCCCTGAACCACGTCTCTAAGGGCAACCACATCTGCTCCATAGAACCTTTGTAATGGTGACAGGCTAGGTCTGGACAGGCTTGGAAATGGCCCTTTCCCTAACCTATAGTTGTTAGCTCAGTTCCCATCATTTGCACTTCTAAATCACAGCACAAGCTACCTATGTCTGGACACTTTCTGCTCATTTCATCTAAAGTTTTATAGCCCCATCCGACAGCCTGTCAGTCAAGAAGGATCTTGGCTCCATCAGATCAAACCCAGCGATCTCATAACCAAGGTTATGCTCTCAAACCTTCATTCAAACCTCTTTATGACAGCAGATATGGCAAATGATCAGGGCTGAAACCTTAACTCTTTCCACATTTTCTTATTACATTGCGTTCCAATTTTTGAAAAAATGTGGAAACTTACAAGATATTTCTAACAAGGCATAGAGTTTCTATATATGAAACATTAAAAAACAAACTGAACCAAAGGGCATCCGTGGAGGTTATATGAGGAAAAAAAATTATAGACAAATAAAAGCAGACATAACCACACCACTATTCTTCATATTAATAACTAATCCCCTGACAAATGGCCAAGATAAACTACAGAAGGGAAAATTGTTCCAAGACACCTGACTCAGCAAGTGACCTTGAAACATAGCTATTCTACAGTCCATACTTCGATCAAGAAGTTCAATGAACTTTTTATTTCAATGTTCATTAAATATAATTCATATTAACACCTTGAGTACGATTGCCGTACACAACAGTGCTATACCCCATTACGTGGTTTATTTGAAGAACTTTGTCATTTCTACAACGACCATTTTCCTTGTTCTTTAGGCATCCCCACTTGAACATGAATATTCCAGGTAAGTTACTTGAGAAAACAAGAACGTTAAATGCATCCAAGTGTATTGTAACCAACTACCTTGCAGCAGCGGATCAGCCAGAATGCAGCGCACACATTTCAGTTGATATTCAATGTAATTTCACAAATGAGTACAGTTATAGTCCACACTTTCCACATAATTAAATGTTACGTTGAGCAACTTCCTTGTAGTTCACAAAGAAGAATGGGAAGGGGGAGGATTATGGTCTTTTGGGCTTCACTATTCTCAGACGTTCAGGATGACCGAAGTTTCCAAACCACTGATCCGAAGTTTCTAAACCACTTTAACTGATGCAACTTCCTTCAATAAATGACATATCAGACACAGAATTTGACTTATCTCATTTGTCATTCTTCACTTGATAGTAATAAGAATGACATAAACACGGCTACAAGTTACTCTATACAATATAATCGCTTGCCTTCTTCATATATTTAGTTTATGGAAATGAGATGATGACAATGAATTTCTTGATTATCGTTTAGTCTCGTGTTTATTAGAGCAGGTGTAATCTGACTTAATAAAAAAGATGCAAGCAAACTAAATCTACAATGTAGCGACTTCATAAGATCAGGCCCACAGAGGATTCCATAAGAGCCAGGCATTACTCAATTCAGCGTTCAAATTGCAGCAAACAGAATATCATTAACTCAAAACCATGTTACATATCCACAATGTCGCGACTTCATTGTCTAGACATTACAAAGCTATTTTATACTTTACGAGACTAAAACAGAGCAAAGTCAATCTTAGTTCGCCATTCTGATTGAAATCCTAAATCTTGTTCAAGGCCGTTAACAAAAAGGTAACATTTGAGGTTTCCAAGTAATACCGATTTTGCTCATCCACCGCCCAAAGAATAATCACTATGATTATTGTACATGCCATACCTCTCTTCGTTGTTAAACTCGGTTACTTGCGTACGCAGCTGGCTTTGATGATAGACCCCCAGGCTCTGTTGGAAGAATTTCGTTGGAAACCGCAGATTCAGTGTTGGGAGATGCAGACTCGTACGAAGTTAACTTTCGATTTGTCGTTGGCCATCTGGTCCTGCCGGCAAGCTTGCCCCTCTCCTGCATCCATGGGAAGGCTCTGTCGGCTGATCTTTCACTCCGCCAGCGGGCCACCTTCCATGTGAAGCCTATCAACAGGGCCTGTATCCCTTGTCAGCGGTCAACCTCGGTGTGGCCAACCACACTGGAATTACTTCGGTTCACAGAACTTTCGAAATTGACATACGTAATAACATGGTCGTGGCCGCCGCTCTCGGACAACAAACAGATTGTAAAGCGTTCTTCGTCGCCAGCCACACGCACGAGTGAATGAACGAACATACAGCTCGAAGAAAAGACTAGCGGTACAGAGAACGGATCGAATGATCACCGACCTACTTCGTACGCCACTGGCGGTAGCAATCTACAAGGAAGTATTCTTCGAATAACGTAGAAGAAAGAGGAACAAGAGAACTCTTCCTCCCCTTTCCAGCTGCAAAGCGAAAGAGGATCCAGATAGCCGCAGCGGCCACACGAACAAAAGCAGTGGTGGCGCCTCCCCTCGTTAGAATCTAGAATTCCAACGAGCTCAGCCATTTGTCGTAGTAGACGCAATTCTTCGGAGAGATCACCCCATCCGGCGTGCACTCGGCGATCCTGGGGCAGACTCCGCAGGGTATTGAGCCGAAGGCTCCCATCTTCGGCCCCCCACCGCCCTCCCTCGGGCATCTGTAGCACTTCTTCCCCGGCGGCAGCCCGACGAATTCCCCTTTCCCGGTGCTCGTCACCTCCAGCACTTCCCCGTCCAGAACCAAGGCGCCCATGATCTCTCCGATCTGCTGCACGCTACAGTCCACCTTGAAGGCCCTCGAATCCCGGATGGAACTCGCAATCGACTCCAGAGTGGCCACGCCGCCCGGGCCGTTCTCCACTGCCCGGCGGCACAGCGGCCGGAGCACGCTGATGAACTCAACGTCCAGGTCGCCGTCTACGTACCAGGAGCCGCCCGAGATTTCATTATTGGGCTCAAACTCGGCAGCCATGACCATCTTGCGGCCGCGGTTGCGGTAGTTGACGACGTCCTTGATGAGGCCCTTGCCCTTGAGGGCGTTGATGATCTTGGTGGGCATGTTGCCGGCGAGACCCATCTCAGCCTTGAGGTCGGCCGTCCACATCCCCATATCCCCCTTCCTCCAGATGGCATCGTACGCCTTGCGCTCCGTCTCAGAGAGATGCGCGAGCCGCTGCTCCTGGGGACCGCCTGGCGCCGCCGTCCCCAAGGCCGGCGCACGCTGCGGCCGCTTCGGTGAGGGCATCGGGGCCGCTAGCGCCCCCGCAGGTCGCCGACCCATCTCCTCCTCCCTCGCCCTCCCTGTGCCGAATGGAGACTAACTCGCCTATAAATGCCGCCGCGTTTCTCGCGGGGGATGGAAAACCCTGATTCAAAAAAATAAAAATTTGAAAAAACCCTGATATGTCGACCGTATTCACAGTCGGCCCGCCGACGATAAAAGATGCCGCCCACATGTCTGGCACGTGCGCAGCAATTCGAACCCGGTCCGTGAAGCGTTTCCGTGTCATCTAGAAGAAGAGTGGCATCCGGGCGCCGGGAAGGGCGAGAATCAAGGTGAGTTCGATGCTTTGGGCTCCAGTTCTGTTGGTGGATCCCAATCAGCCAGAGTACTTACTAGAAATACCGCGCAACGTAAAGTTCTGAGACCAACAAAAGCCCCAATTTCGTTGTCTCGCGTTCAGGAATTCGGCCATCTTTAAATGGTAACATGAATGTGTGAAATCGAACGTGCAAACCAAATTCCGCCCCCTCGATTTGCATCGAGCTCCATCTCCTCCGTTGAACGCATCTGGTTGACAACTACAGTCCCATGCTCACACGCCGCCGGGAGGACCATTTCACCCGGAGAACGAGCGGGTCCAGAATACCGTGCCGGCCAGTGTTCTCTCCTCTGGCCAAGGTGGGAAAAACCCTGCCGCCGGTGGAGAGGACGGATTGTCCGGGAGCCGTCGAAAGAGATTGGCAGGTCCGCCCCGTCCCCAAGGAATGCGCCCCATGGTTCCTCTCAGACCACGATGGTCGGAAAGGAGTAAACTAAATCGCTAAATGTGGCCTCCGACGGCAACTCCTCGTAGATCATCACCTCAGACTCCCCTCCCACCGCCGCTGCTTCGGTGCCCACCCGAAGGGTCGTGCCTGATCGAGAAAGGGAACATCGCCATTTGCGTTACAAGTTTTCCGCGCCAGAGTGAGGAGTCCAGCTCCTACTCACAAGCAGCGTATATCTCAACACTACTTCACTGATAGACGTCGACATAGCACCATGCGCGATGATGAAAATAAGCGGTCGAGTATGGAAATTAGAACAGAATTCTAGAAGGCGCGCGTCCGAGGCGCCGAAGCTCCGGAGACGAGTCATGAATCCGTACAGCGGCTACCGTGATATTTCTGCTGCTTACAGTTCGCCACGGCCAAGGGAATCGGACTAAGAAATGAGGTCATGAAAAATGCTTACCCCGCTCATGCCGCTGAACAGCAGTCCCTCTCTCCATGTCTCGAGGTCTCGCATCAAAGCGTTGACGCCACGAATTCCGCGCGCGCAGGTCGGACATCTATGCTACCCCCGGGCATCTTGCAGACCGCCGAAGTAACACTAGAAAACGTAGCCAGATGTACACGTTCTGTCTGAGAATCGACAAAGAGCCCAGCAACAGATTTGACTCTGAGGGTCATTCGACCGCATCATCGATCCCTCATATTACTTTTAGGTTTCTGATCCCACCAGAGACGGCAGGTTCGTCAGGAACGTCCCATATTACTTTTGGCAGCTGCACGGGAGATAAGTTGCTGGCATGCCGATTCAGGCATTTATTGAAGCAGCGATGCAGAAGCGATGGTCTGACCCGTGCGATACCTCAAGCGAAACCACCAGAAGCTATGACAGTGCCCGCCGATTCCCTCCCAGTCCGATATCGCAGCACACCCTGAAGAGCATCCCCCACACAGAGCCATGGTTTGAGTGGCGATCCAGCCAGTCATCGGCCGCCGTCGTAATGGAGTAAGAGATCGCATCCGAAAACATAAGACACCCGAAAATAGTACTGTTGTATTAGAAAATGGCTTGAATCTGATGACCGAGATATTCGAGAAGAAGATACAAAGAAAGTAATAGTGATTTCAGAAGAAGGGGGAAGAATGACATACGGATATAGTTTTGTGGAACACAGAAACAAATACAACTTCTCTCGGCCACCAAAATGAAAAAAATCATGAATGAGGAAATAAACTACAGAAAATGGAGGAGAATAAACTCACAACTAAAACCTCAAAAAGGGAAAGACATAGGATCGCTGATTTCTGTCGGCAGAGAGAAATGATTTTCATCTTGTTTTCTCCCCGAGCTCCCTTTTTTCACTGTATTTTATACAAAAGGGGCAGGACTGAATCGAATTGCCACAAACAATCAACAACTAATGTAAATGAAAACTGTGAGAAGAAAATAGATTAATGACTCACAGTAAATGCCAAGTTCAAACAACTGTCTTCGTCTGTCTTCTGAGAGAGAGAGAGAGAGAGAGAGAGAGAGCGCGTAGATTAATTAATTAAAGTTCTGATTTGAGCATTTATATCATCTCTTATCTCTGGATGGATTACAAAAGTACCTTTCACCATGATAGAAAAACAAACAGAAGCACTGTTTTTTTTTAGGCCACTCCTCTGCTCTCATTGGCCCAGTGCTTGGCCCAATAGGCTCTTAAAACAGAAGAAAATCCCAGCACAAGCCTCGCTGATTTCAGTCCCCCACTACATCCTTTGATGTCGACGTTGTGGGTTAACCTGAGTTGGTCACATAGCACGGTCCTGAAGAGTGATGTTTCTTGTGCTGAATATGCTTGTGACAGTGAAGACGCAGAGGGCATGATGCAGGACAAGGGCCAAAATAAATCTCCTTAAAAAGAGCTACACATTAATCTTTAAAGTTTACTTAAATTAGAACTTTGAGGGCTTAATATTCGGATGATCCTACAATTTTAAGAGAATTAGGATCATTAATTACTTGTTGGGTTATCTAATTCAAAGAATCAAACAGTACTTCTCAACAAGAGTTTGGATCATCAATCTTTCACACAAGAGTAGCTATCTTATGAATCTCACAAATTCTAAGAATAGAGATTTAAAAATAATGACCAACTTCAAAAGAAATTTAAAAATCAATTCACCTTTGTAATAGAGATTTTTGATATCTTCAAGATTCTTATTGCTTCGAGTTCCATGAGCTTTGTTAATGATTTTCCAAGATTCAGACTTAGTGGTTCGCAGTAAGGAGTGGATTGATGTGGTTTGAAGGGAGTGGGCTGTTTGAGCCGAGAGGTATAAATAAGGTCCAGAAGTGAGGTGAAATAATAAAATAATGATGAAAAGAAAAAAAAGTGGATAGAAAAAAGGAGGCGAAATGAGAGGGCGTCGGCGGAAGAGAGAGAGAGAGAGAGAGAGAGAGAGAGAGAGAGAGAGAGAGAGAGAGAGAATGAGGGAGGGAACATGGCGACAGCGGGAGAGAAAAGAAAGAGGGTTCTTGTGAGGACGAGAACCAAGGGTGAATTTAAATATTGACTAAAGGGGCGAAATGAGAGTGGTCTTGTTGGGAAGAGAGGCTAAAGTCGGTAGGTGGTGACAGTGAGAGAAAGAAGGGAAGAAGGTTTCGCGATCATAGTGATGGGGTGGACGACGAGGAGGCAGGATGACGGCGACCAGGCGGACGGCGACCAGGCGGAACGGCGGCGATGGGGTGGACGGCGAAGAGGCAGGACGACGAGGAGGTGGAACGGTGGCGACTGGTCGGACGGCGAGGAGTCGGAACGGCAGCAACGGGTGAGGTGGAACAGACGGTGAAAAGGTTGGACGATGGCGATAGAGGAGAGGAAAGAAGGTGGGTTTGGTGACAAGGCGGCGGATGGCTAGAAGGCAGAATGGTGGCGATGGGGAGGATAGCTAGGAGGTGGAACGGCTGCAGTGGCAGGAGAAAGGAAAGAGAGGCCTGGCAACGGGAAGGAACGAAGACGACGTGGGGAAGAGAAAAGACGAAGGTACCCCTAATCCAAGAGGCGAGCGAAAGAGAGTATGAACCCATAATCCAAGAGCCGAATGAGGGAGAAGGAACCCCTAATCCAAGAGGTGAGAAGATAACAAGAATCTTCTTGATTCCAAATTTAATTTCAACTTTTTTTTTCAGTATTCTTGAGTTTGAGTATTTATAGGAAATAGAAGAAATTAGTTAGAAACATTCCCTCCCAAAGGATGCCAAGTGGTGTCTCTTGGAGGGAGAGACGCCTTCCTTAGGGGAGGAGTACATAGGTGACGTGGCCTCTTCTCCTCCATCTTCTTCCTCCGCCTCGTGGGTCCATCTAGGATAATGAACCCTCATGTTGACTCCATGAGGGCATGTTGGGAGGAAACGGGGCACTTGATCTGTGCTATCTGGGTGGCCTTTTCATGCAGCAAGATCCGTGACTTTGTCTGCTGCGGATTGCAACAGTACGCTCTCCCTTTCTTGTTCTAGATTGCTCGCCATATATATATATATATATATATATATATGTACCACTACACTGTAAATGTCATAGACAACAAACATTGGGCCCTCAATAAATTACGATTATCGATTATCAATAGTTATCCTCCGACTACTCTTATGCGATAACCTATAACTTTTGGCCAAAATCAGCACCACTTCAAATGGGTTTTTGTTGAGTACTCTGATGCACCACAAGCATCTAATGTGCCCCCAAACTTGGGTCAGTGAGCACACTAGAGGAAGATGAACACCCCCATATTTATTCCCAAATAGAACCTGATGTGACTCAGTCATTGTATATTAAATCACGCAAATATAAAATTTATAAAACTAGAAAATATGAATTTTTAGATATTTATAAGTATTTCTAAATAAATATATTAATTATAATTCAATAAAAATTCCAAAAATAGCAGTAATTTTCCAGGTCGATCACAAAGATGTAATAATATCTGGTAATTATTTAGAATTTTTCTCAATGAATACGATTTTCTTATGAATTTTATACTAAGAAATAAAAAAGAAATATATTTAAAATTCACAAAAAAAAAGGAAATAAGGGTGCGGACATTATGATGATGTCAACACCCGGCAAATACGAATCAGGCGGAAATAAAGTTCCACCCGGCGATTCTTACGTAAGTGATTACAGATAACTTAATTAGTTAAATTAAGATCTATAAAAGTCGAAAGAATCGTAATTGAACGAAGTATAGTTTGGTAAATTAAAATCACACAAAGTATCACTAAATGAAGTGTAAATTAAA